GACGCCTGGGTCGGCTTCCCCTCAGGGAAGGGGAAACTCGTTTTGTTTTAAAACTTCCCTCTCGATCGCCAAAAGACTTAGGCCTTCCTGTGGTGTGAAAAAGAATAATTAACCAAAAAAAAACAAAAAACACAATTTAAAAAAACCCTTTCACTTTAAATTTTCTGCCTTCTCAGATATGTTCCAAAAGTTTGAGCTTTTTGTGTAGTGAATGGCCGAGACGCTGAGCGCCCCGTCCCCGAAGGGCTGCTGCTGACCTAGAACCGCGCTTCTGCTTGCGGGAGGAGCGTGGTCTCCACCTTTCTCTGTCTCTGCGTAGGTTGCAGCTAGATCCAAACTTGATAAAAAATAGGCCTCGTGGGTAGCCTTTGTGCGGCGTGCAGTCAGAAATGCAAATTTTTGTGTTCTTTGGGGAGCAGTGTTGGGGAAGTAGCTTTTGCTGTTCTTGACTCGGCGGTGAAAGATTTGTGTCCGAGGTGGAGGAGCTGAGTCAGATCTGAAGGGCTCCTGAAATGAGGCAACTGGTGCCTGTCTGGTTTTTGTTTTGTTTTATTTTATATTTAAAGGTGAATCCCTACCTGTGACCAACCAGTTAGGGAATGAGAACCATGGTATAAACTACCCTAAAAATAAATCACTGGATAAAGTCATTTCCCTTAAAGTGTAACCAGAAAAAGCTAATGGGTTGCACTGCTCTTTTTCTGCTGGAGAAACCGCTGCTCAGGGTTAACTTTTTGTAGGTATCTTGTACATCTAACTAATATTTTTCAGTGACATCCCTTGGAACAAGTATCTGCTGACACTCCCAGCTCATCATTCGGGTAATCCACACAGTATTTATTTTCCCCTTCTGTGGGTCGTCTCGCACTGAAACCTGTACAGACTTTTTTCTTTTGCGCCTTTTTCAGAAATGCCGTGGTAGCGTCATGTTGGAATGTAGGGTTGTCTCAAGCCAGCAAGAATACCAAAAGGCAAGCATCAGTTTTTTAGATTCTTCACTCACACTTGAGGAGTTGCAGCCTGTCTGAGTGGGAATTGCTTACATTTTGCAAGTACGGTGACAGAAGATCCACTGTCTATAAAACAAACCTATAAAAGAATTAGGAGGAGCTCGTTTTGCTGTAAAGTGACATTCAATGTAGTATCTTTTCCAGCTTCTTTCTGTCCTCATCTGCCTTCTGCATGTTGTAGAACGCTTTTAGGACACACAGGGACGCTAACAGCTGCTCTGATTTTGGTGTCCTGTGCCTCAATTAACAGTGGGATTTCCACAAAAAAAAAATCCTTGCAGAAAAATAATTGACTGTGGCATTCACTGGCCCTCATTTTTAAAATTTACTTCCTGGAGCAACATAACTAGATCGTTGGGAAAAATAGACTGCAAGGTTTGGCAAAGCTTACAAGTCTAATTATTCAGAGACTTTGATATGTGCAGGTAACACAGGAGACTCTCCAAATATTCAGGGTTTAATTCTACCTACTCCAAGATCTTGGGGGTTTTTTTTGTTGCACAAATTGTGTGTGTTTCTCGCTGAATCAGCTTCTTGGTGTACTTTGTGACTGTGAATAAATTAAAACTGTGCTTTATAAAGAAACTTTCACCTTTGGGCAAAGTTGAACAGAGAATGCTTATTCTAAAAGTGATTTACTGGCAGGCTTTCTGCGCTGTGGCCGTATCAGAGGTTCAAGGAAAGCTTTTCGGCACTTTTTTTTTTTCCTGTTTACCGTGGCACAACCAGATTTGCCTGAAGGATCCCGTAGCATTAACAGGCCACTCTCCTGTATCACGTAAAAGCAAAACTATCATTTCTAATGCCACGTGAATTTATGATGACATCCTCAGCTCCTGTCCTAAATGTGACAGGAAGCATCGAAGGCGAAGTGGGTCTTGTTACTTCACGGGCGGCGTGTCGGCAGCTTTCGGTGTGACAGGGAGGAGAACGTAATGCACTGAAGTGAGACCAAGCCCTGCCTGGCAGTAGGTTCACCCCTAAGGTGGAAAGAAGCACCTGGGTGTTTGTTAACAGCACTGAAATAGAACAGGATGACTTTTGGAATAACACCTCTAATAAGGTGTTAAGTGTTGGAGTCGGACCTCTGCTAGTTACAGAATCACAGGATGTTCGGGGTTGGAAGGGACCTCTGAAGATCATCCAGTCCAACCTTCATCCCAGCACACCCAACCACTACACCACAGCCTCAAGTGCTAGATCTACTTTTTTTTTAAACACCTCCAGGGTTGGTGACTCCACCACCTCCCTGGGCAGCCTGTTCCAGTGCCTCACCACTCGTTCAGTAAAGAACTTCCTCCGAATATCCAAGCTAAACTTACTTAGTTTTCAGAGCAAAGCTTTGATCTGTTTTCCCTCACTAGTTAATTGTTGAAAAACTGACACGAGGTGCAAACAGCGTGCCACGCACATCTTCAGCAAACCTTTATTCATTCCAGCGCTCCCAGGGCTGTAGCATCAGCAAGTCTGGTGAGGTTAAGTAACACAGGGGCCACTTACGCCCTTTATTTTGGAGCTTTCAGTACATAAATATTCGAAAATATCTGAGCTGTCGTAGAAGAGGGGAGCTATGGCTACGAACATACCGTTTGTACTGTAAGGTGGTGTGCAGTTGTGACTATAATGTGGTCTTTCCTTAAAACAACCCAGTACCATTCATATTCCTTGCTGTTTTCCATCGAAAGAGATGCCGTGCTGGTGTAGTTTGGTTGTGCAAAGACAGCTGATAGCTTACGGAGAATTTCTCTTGTGGAACCAACCTCTTCTAGTTTTGTTTTAGATATTTTCTTGGAACTCGAAGCATTTCTGTACCCAGGTCAGTCTCTGGGTGACTGTTAAGTAGGGGCGGTGAATGCCCGTAAGAGCACAAACGTGGCATGAGACTAAATGAACCCAGCATCTTCTAAAACCTATGCAGAGTGTTTAGAATAATTCTCCTGTGGGAGGGAAAGGTTGTAATCCAGAGTAGTCTCCAGGTATCCGTTAAATAGTTTTTACTTTGGCTATTGCATTTCTGACTGAAGAATTATTTGACAGCAAAGCTGTGAGGGCTTTTCCAAATCTTCAGGGTGCATCATCGTCTCTTCGAATCATTCTAAGCAGCAGCCCGATCTGAGCAGATGGGACACTTTTTAAGTGAAGTTCTTCGGTTTGAGCACCCATCGTCCTCCAAACTGATGCCTGTTGAAGGCCAAGTTGGCGTTGTTTTCCTCATTTGCAGGCATGATATCATAAGGTCTCCTGTGGTTTTTCAATTAAGGATCTGCATTTTTTTTGTAGGTCTGAATTTTTTTATTTCCTCAGTTATCATTTTGTAGTGCCTTCAAACTGTAAATATATAAACTGAGGAGTATAAGAACTGATACAGTATATTCAGCTCACTTTTAGAAGCTGCCAAAAGTGCTCTGAATGCAGTGGATCTGCTGGTGCAAGTTTCCTCTGCAATCTTGTGTAGTTGTACAGTGTAGCTGCTTAATTTTTCCTTATTTTTAGGAGCTAATAATTGTCTTTACTCTGATAATTTCCTGCAGAAACTGAATTCAGAGTCGGAAATGATCAAACATCAGTAAACGTAAGGTTGGATTTACTAGTGGAGTTCTGGTTTTAGAGCTCCAAATTCCCAAATGCTAAATTCAGACCTAACTCTCATGAGACTCTTTTGTCGAAAGTTAAAAACAGAAGCTGTCCCCAAATACTGCTTGGTTTCTAAAGGATTGATAAGCTGAGGTCCTTCATCCTTCAGAAGGCGGCTGATTTTTAAATGGTGATGCCTGCCTAACTTTCTGCAAAAAATCCTTCCCCAGCTGCAGTTTTAGATGAAAGCGGAGCTGATAGTCGACTGTGTAGTACTGTGCAAGCAGCCTTGACGTGCCAGAGGAACAGCGCTTGCAGGGAACATCAACTTCACAGTCCAAAGAAAGTAGATTTGAGCTTGCTCTCTGACCGACAACCAAGAGAACGTGGCACAAGGCTTAATCTGTTGTCAGGCCGTGCTAAAACGGTGGGGAAATTTAGTGGTGTCCTCCTGGAGATGCAGCGCTCTGCAGTGAGTCCCAACGATGTGTCCAGCTTGTTTGGGAAGGTGATGGAAAAGGAAAAACTGAAGCTCGGGAGGTTCTCCTGCACATATATACATGGCAAACATTTCTGTTCAACTAATATTACCAAGTTTTGGACAGATATCACGGGTGTGTAGAGGTGTCAGCGCTAACACACCGGTAGTGCTGTATCCCGAAGGTCTGAATGGAAGCGGAGTGGACCCAAGAACATCTTGGTGTAGACCATCTACCATAATAGTCGTTGTGTTAAAAAAGACAAGATCTTGCTGTTCTTGTCACCCTTTTTCCAGCACATATTCCTCTCCGTTCCCTTGCTGCTGTGGAATGAAGTGCCATAGCTTAGCCAGCCCGGTAAAAGTCTGGCATGTAACTGCTCTTGTCTGTGACGTACCTACGATGCTGCTCCTCGTTGAGTTGCAAACTCTGTGCGTAGCTGTGGAAGCTGTCGCATGGTCTTCTCTAGCAGAATTCGCAGCCCTTGCTTACCTCTTAATTTTAGTCGTTAACGTCTTGTTCCTGAAGGCAGTAATGTTGATGCTGAGCCTGTGTGTTAAATTAGATGTACAGAGGAGCTGACTTGAAGACCAAGTGCTTTGTGCCTGTTGAGGTCATGATGGAGGAATTTAAAGCTATTAAAGAAAACAGGTTTTTGAATTGCAATTGAAGGTGTCTAGTATTTCAGCAATAGGTACTCCTAGCAGTTGTGAGAAATGTGCTTGCCTCACGCTTAGAATTTGTGTGCTTGAGTAAACTGGAGTAGGTTTAAAATTAAAGCGTGCTTCGGCTTGGATTCTCAAATAACGAAGGGGTTGGAATTTATATTATGGGTATATTATGAGTGCTGAGTGGACGGGAGACCTCTGAAGAGGTGAAGTGTGGTTGAATGAATGTAACTTGTTTTAAAATTGACTGTTGAAGTGTCTTGCAGGTGGATTCACCAATGAACTTGAGGAACCCACATGATTTGGTAATACTGATGAGACAAGAAACCACCGTTAACTACCTCAAAGAACTCGAGGTAAAGCATAACGTTACGTACCAACTAATTTCTGAAAATACAGATGATTTTCTTTGAAAGGCTTTTCAGCGATAGGCTTAGGTGGGGAAGAGGAGAAGTTGTTGGCGTAATTTGCTTCAGTGAAAGGATAAAGAGTTCTTTGAGAATTTTGTGCCTCAAGTTCACTCAGCTGCTCTTCGCTGGCCTCGGTTGCATCGTTCTCTGATGTTATCCATAAATCCTAACATTTTTCAGTGAAGTCCTTTTGATATGGGATTCTGTTGCTGACTGGTTCTAGAAGAATACAGAGCAGGTCACCTCAGGTTTTCTTCAAGCCCGTTTATTATTGAAAAAGGTTCTGAGAACACCCTTCAGAAAAGGGCTTTAATGAACTTTGAATTGATAGCTTAAAGTTGAAATAAAATACGGGCTGGGCAAGCTAACAGCTCACAGCCTTCTTTCTGGTAATGGACATTTGAGCTGTGGATGGAACAGTAGCTGTGAGCTTTTCAGGACATGGGCTGTGGTTTGGAAATCACCAATGTACAATTTGCGGCGTACAAATGACTGAGCACAAGTTGTCTGTTTTAAGATCTCGTACAAGTTGCTACTACTGCCTACATCTCTAGCGTTGCCTAGTAGTGTGCAATGAAATGTGCGCCGCTTTCATTAGGAACGCGGATTTTCTTATTTCACAGATACAAATCCTGATGTGTTTCATGAGTTTTCAAATTGCAGGGTGATAATTAAATACCACTTACTGTGCTGGGACAGGTCACTAGTCCATTCGCTGCTTGTAGGCATCAATATTCTCAGTTTTCTTCAGATGGACTTTTGTTTGTTTTAAGGAAAAAGTTGGACTGTTCAGCTCTTGGCAACTATAGTGTTTGCTTTCATCAGTATACATCCATTTACTTCTTATTATTGTTATTTGTTTATTCCTACAGAAACAGTTAGTTGCTCAAAAGATTCATATAGAGGAAAATGAGGATCGAGACACAGGGCTGGAACAAAGGCATAATAAAGAGGATCCGGACTGCATTAAAGCAAAGGTGCCCTTGGGGGACCTAGATCTATACGATGGCACGTACATCACCTTAGAGAGCAAAGATATCCGGTAATAAGATGCTTTATATTTTAAGATTTTTACTGAATGAAAATAAAAATCAACGAAACCTTTAAATGCAAGTAAGAAGAAAAATACTGTCGCTGACCGTTCTTTAGGTGACAGTTTTATTTTGTGTTAGCTTGGAATAAAATGGATCAAGCTGCTAAATATGGACAGGTGCGGCGCAGAAGTGGTTTCTCCCCCAAAACCGTTCGCGTTAGTCCTACCCTGAAACTTCTCCCAGTCGGTCCCACCTCTGTAACTCTGTGCTGGTATCACCGGGTTTGGGAATTAAACCCAAGCGCCTCATGTAGAAGGGGGTTCAATTTGCTTGTGGGTGTTTTGAGCTGGAGAAACTTCTTGTAGTGGGAACTGTCCTGACTTAAATTTGAAGGAAATGTTCTGGTCCTGCTTCATTCCCCTTGTTTAGGAAGTAAAGGATGTGTGGACAGTCTGCTTGGTAATTCATCTTCAGGGCTGACTGTTGGGGTTTGGTATTTTATGGTTTTTAGCATAATCAGATGAGTACTCAAAAATGAGAAAAGATTAAGTTCATCCTCAGATACCTTCATTTGGGCCTCTCACTAATACTTGGAGTTTGTTTGCTTTGGTTGAAGAGTGATCTGCACGCCTGGTGTTTGCCTGGCAGATAGATCTTTGATCAGAGCAGCGATACTTTGGAGGCTACTCAACTGTCAATGCTTTGTCTAAATCAGCCAGAAATTTATTTACTTTATAGTATAGTGATGACATCCTCATACAGCTGAAACCTGGGAGGACATCAGAAATGGTCTAATGTGCTCAAAAATGGGATTTTTTCTAACGGTCAAGTTGGAACACTGTGTCTGTCAGCTACAATGCTTTCTCTTACGAGCTTTAGCAGGGTTTTAATCTGGAGTCCGCTGTGTTCTGTTGTTATGTCCTCAGCCCTGAAGACTACATAGACACAAAGTCGCCAGTGCCTCCAGACCTGCAGCAGCCAGACTGTACAAAAGTTTTAGATCTTCCATACAGTATTCATGCTTTTCAGCACTTACGGGTAAGCGAGCGAACACAAGTATGTTGGGATATTTCTTTGCCCCAGAAAACTCTTCACTGGCAGTTCTGAGTCACAGTTGAAAGGTGTTGTAATCTTTCAAGGCTGTTCGGGCCTTGTTTGACTGTCCCTGATACCTGAATGCCAGGCCCTAACCCAGAGGAGGAGATAGTTGCTCTTGACTAGTACAAAGTTCACCCGATTTAGAGAGGTTGCAGCGGAAGCATGGTGCAGAAATTGTTTTTGTCAACAGCATTATATGAACAAATTTCCTAATGCAGCTAGAGCTTCGGGGCTTTGATCCTGATGTTTGTTTTATTACAAGTCTTCAAAATAGCTTTTCATCTATAAATAAGGATTTTCTTACGGACAAAACAGGGACTGAAGGGTTTTTAGCTCTGTTCCTGGGTCCAGATGTACTTTTAAAAGCATTCACAAGCAGAGGCTGCTTTGGGCTGCTTCTAGCATTGGCTATAATATATATAGTTCATGTGTCAGAGCTGACTTTATCCTGGCAGTTCCCTAAGGTATTGATGTGAAGGGGTGACAGGAATGTAAAATAAGCAAGCTGAACGTTTTCCTGGGAGTCGTGCTCTCGTGTCTAATTCTCTGCTTTTAGTTGAAGCGTCGGCAAACACCAATATTCGCTTTTTGGTTTAGGGCGTCCAAGAAAGAGTTAATCTTTCCGCGCCCTTGTTACCTAAAGAAGATCCAATCTTCACATACTTATCACGGAGGCTGGGAAGAAGTATAGAGGAAATAGGTCATCGTATTTACGACGGGCTAATGAAGGTATGAAACTGGAATCTTGAGGTATTTACAAAAAAGGATGCTGGGAAGGTCTCGCGAGATTTGATGCGCCTGGTGCGTGCGATCAGCTGCAGGACTAGTTTTGCACGTAGATTTTTGGTTTGTGTTTCAGTTACAAAAGGCAGACTGAAACCATTTTCTGCCAGGTAAGCAGAGGTGGGAGAAGGCATCAGCAAAGCCAGTCAGTAGACACTTAGCGTCATCGTTAGTATCTTGCGCATTTGTGTGGTCTGGCAAGATAATAAGAGCTTTTAAACAGAAAAGCGGGTGCTTAAAGAACAAAGTAAAAACGACGGTGCTGAAATGTTGTGGGGTTTTATTCAATGCCTTCCTGCAAAATCTAAGAATCTCATTGAACTCCAGCTAAGCTGCTGACGCTTCAACTACTGCTGCTTCTCATTTCTTCTCATTTTGAGTGGTCACCTGTGGGAAAGGCAGAAGGTTCTTTACAACCTTTATGTGCTAGTTCGTTCTTCCTCAACATTCGCAGCTGTTGCCAAATGGCAGCTTTCCAGGGGAAGAGGATAACTTAAAGAGGGCTTAGTGCTCGCCTTTCAATCTCCTGGTAATTAAAGCCCTGATTAACCTTTTAGTTCATGCCTTAGTAGTTAGCACGGCGCATGTGTTTCTCTCTACCGCAGAACTCTTCTTCCTGGGTACTCTACAACATGGCTTCTTTTTACTGGCGAATAAAGAACGAGCCCTACCAAGTGGTCGAATGTGCCATGCGTGCCCTGCATTTTTCTTCAAGGTAAGAATTACTCACGAAGATTTCTCTTCAGATGGTTTTTTTTTAGTCATCCTAATTAGCAAACAGGTTTTAGTTTCTAAGACCGCAGCTTAAGAAATAATCCATGTTACTTGTTCTTAGTCTTAATGTGCTATACTAAGCATATATGTAGTTGAGATATTGTTCTGTCAAATTACACGTTTAATATGTGGCTGATGGATTAATGTATCTTTATGCGTCATTCTTACTCAGTCTGACCTTCTATTAATGTTTGGTGTTTTTTTTTTCCATTTCATTTTCTTCTCCTAGGCAAAATAAAGATATTGCACTGGTAAATTTGGCAAATATTCTTCACCGGGCTCACTTCTCTGCAGATGCAGCTATTGTGGTCCATGCAGCTCTGGATTACAGTGACTTCTTTACCAGCTATTACACTCTGGGAAATATATACGCAGTAAATACTACCTTTATTTTCCAAGACTTGTAGAAAAACAGATATTATTTAATCTTTCTGGCTTGACTTGTATTGCTTTGCTCTTTTACAACGTGCCTTGTGTTCCATGTGCATTTCACACATAATGTTTAAGATTCCATCAAGATGTTTTCATCCAAAAATCTCTTTCAGCGAAGGTTTTTATCTGGAGAGAAATCCCGGGGAAGTTCTTCTGCAGCCTTTCTTTAGCAGTTGAGTTTCAGAAAAGACAGGCTGCTTGTTACCACAGGTTAAAAATTGAGTTGAGTTATTCTAGTCTTTGAAAACAGAATATTTTTTTATTCAGTGTTACTGAACGATGGCTAATTATCTGTCTTGGTTGTTCTTCAGATGCTTGGAGAGTACAACCACTCGGTCCTGTGTTATGATCATGCTCTGCAGGCCAAGCCAGGGTTTGAACAAGCTGTAAAAAGGAAGCACGCTGTCCTGTGCCAGCAAAAACTTGAGCAAAAACTGGAAGCCCAGCATAGGTAACTACAGAAGCATCCACAGTCTCACTTTTATTCTTCTGTTGCAGGAGTTATTCACGTTTCAAATGAATAATGGTTTTCAACTTGCCGTATTTATTTGATGGCACAATAAAATTATTCATAAGTACTTAAAGAAAGCTGAAAATGTGCAACCCTGTAGAAGCATTCAAAGTAAACCTTTTCTGCTGTTGAATTTTCAAGGTCGCTGCAGCGAACGTTAAACGAATTGAAGGAATACCAGAAGCAACATGACCACTACCTTAGGCAGCAAGATGTTTTAGACAAGTACAAGCTCATCCAGGAGGAGCAAATCTTGAGGAACATCATTCACGAGACACAGATGGCAAAAGAAGCTCAATTAGGTACGACTTTTTCGAGTTCCTGCTCATTATAGCGATTGAAAACTGCACACACGCGAGTGTCAGGACGTAATTTCGTTATATACTAGGATGGCCCTGAGTGGCTGTTGTGTTCTGCTGAGTGAAACAAGGCACTGCAGTACGTTCTTGAACAGGTTTTTTTTTTCCCAAGTCTTTCAAAGACGCCATTTCCTCGCTCCTGATGAAACAAATAAAAAGAATTTACTGCATTGGGGGTGGAGGGGCTGACTGTCCGCTGTCTTTGCGTCCTCAGAATCCTTGCTTACGTAGTAGAAAAAAAAAAATTTAAAAAGTTTTGTGCTCTGCAGGGAACCATCAGATTTGCAGACTGGGCAACCAGCAGCACAGCTTGCACTGCCAGTGGGACCAACCTGTTCGTTATCACCGCGGAGACATTTTTGAAAACGTGGAATATGTTCAGGTCTGTCTGTGAATCGATGCCGCCGCTTGAAGTCGCAGCCCGTTGGCCTTAGAAGCGAAACAGCTCCAGCATTTTGAGGCTTGACAAAAGGGATACGTTTTGGGTGTGGTAATTCTAGTGAGAAATTCAGTCTCTTTTTCAGAGTGTAAAGTATTTAATGCTAGTTTCTTTTGCTAGTAACACAAGCTGAGATTGACTGTGGATTATAGAAATTAGAGGATTTATCATATAAGAGTTTGTTTCACTTGGAAAAGACAACTATTAGAATTACTTGAATTGAAAAGCTTTTGGTTTTTTTAGTCCAAAGTCTTAGTTTCCTGTGAGATACCACCCACTTCTACATTGATTTCTTTGCTTTTTCAACCTGCGTAGAACAGCCCAGTATTTCTTTCTAGGAAGTACAAGAACCCTCACTTGAGGAACTGTAGCTTCTCCTTACATAAATATATTAAGTTTCAGGCATTCTAGCAGCATAACCTGTTTCATTTTCCAATGTATTTCCCTTCAGAGAGGATAGGAAAAAACATCAGGCAGCTGATGTTAATGAAGAGGCAAAGGTTTTCTAAGGAGTTAGTTTTCTAATGTACATCTGGTGTATGGAACAAGAATTCTTCTTGTGGAAGAATATTCTTCTAGTGGAAAGAATATTCCCGCCCAACAGCTTAAAGTGATTGTATTGCTCACTTACCTCTACAGCCTCAAAATGGATCATAGTTTCTTTTATTACACTGCCACACGAGTCAAGCTGCGCAACTTTTGCGCGTTCCTTCCAATTTAATCTTTTTTTCCTGCTGGAAGGAGCACAAAACTGCCATAAGAAAGTAACATATGGAAGAGCAGAGCTCAGTGGTGTTGGTGACGTATTTACAACACGAATATTACTTTTCCGTGGTGTGAGTGGATCAAGAGGCCTGAAATTTCCTTCTTTTTTTTTTCCTGCTGCCCAAATTTCAGCTCGTCAGTGAAGCTGAACTACCTAAATGGTGAGGGGAAAAAATAACGTGCAGAAATTCAGCCTGTACTTCCTGTATTAAATACTCCATTTCTGTTGTTTCTAGTTCGGTGAAGACTCTTCAACGTCTGGTATGACATCGGTGAACTTGGACCTTCACGCAAACCAAAGCGACCAGAGCCACTCCTTGCAGTCTTCCCCCGTTGCTCGTTCGATTGTTTCAGTGTGGAATGTAGAATCCAACCGAGTGAGTGAAGGGGCTGAGCTTTGCCTTTCCAAAGGGGAGTTGTAGAAGTGAAGCTTGTCGTGGTTTATGTGAAACTTTCTGGCGTTTGGGCTGCGGTTTTGGTGTGCAGCAGCACTGGAGAACACAGCAATCTGAGTTTTTTCAACATAAAAGCGTCTTTGTAGGTTCTCTGTACTAGTTTCCCATCTTTTGAAACTCTGCTGCAGCACAAAAGGGGTTCTTAGCTGCCTTGGTAAAAATCTGCTGCGAATAAAGCAGTGCAGCTGAGTGAAGCCTGAAAACTGAACTGCTGATTCTCCTGAAAAGATGGAAAAATTCTAGTTTTAAAGATAGCTGCTCTTTTTTTTCCTCCAGGCTCTTCTTTGTGTTCTTATTAGCTTGTTAATTAGAATATTACAAACATGGACAGAATAATAAAAAATAATTCCTTTCCGCCGCAGGACAAACAGCATATTCTTTGGCCTCAGCGATCAGAGTGCATGAAATCTTTCCCCAAGATTCCTGATCCAGAGGAACTGCCAACTTATTTCCTGCCTCCGGAAAACAGAGGATTCCGGTAAGTGTTAATTTAAAAAAAAAAAAAAATATTAAAAATTTGTTTGTAAATGTTCAGACTAGTGTCTTAATGAGTATTTTGTTTCTGGAGAGGATGGATGTAATTGGTGGTGGGCGAGATGGATGTGTTCAGCCCTTTTTCTCTGGCCAGTCCCCAGAAGGAACCTGTTCTCCTTTATTGTCATCTTTGCTGTAACTGCAAAAGTCAGATCCAATTTCATGGTGATTCTGTTGTAATCAAATTTAAATTTTAAGGCGCTAATGAATAACTAATCATCATTTTAATCA